CACATGGGATTTGGATACTGCAGCATCAAGTAGCCCATATCAGTTCGCGTAAACAGCGATACTGTTCGCTTTATACACCCAATCGTTTCAACCTTCGCTCAGATGGGATGTTTCCGATTACAATGATGTACCTGAGTGCCCGAAGTTGAGGCTGCTCCAGTGCAGTGACGTTGTGTTTCATTCATGGCTGTCAAGCTTGAATTGTGTTCTGAACTTTGGGGCGAACCAGTGGCGTAGCATGGGGGCGGGGGACGGCGGACTGCCCCGGGCGGCATGTGATAGGGAGCGACTGTTTTAGTACCGTCAATTGTTTGATACCAAATACAAAAGGTAAAATATCCTGTTAAATAGTTTAAGGTTACTCTGTGTGACCAACAAGACATTTCCGTTATGTGTCACACCTATGCAAAGTTTCTTTTCAGCCATCCCGTTAGATGTCCCATTGTGAGCACTATCGCGACATTTACCTCAGTGTCCCAAACGCTCATTCTTTCATGGAAAACTAATGTGTATTTTACTCTGAGCCGATTATACGGCCTTCACGCGCCTATCCTGTCTTCACTTAGCGCGAAAATGCTCCCCCGCCAAGGGCGGCAAAAGTTGTTGCTACGACACTGGGGCGAAAAAACGTACTGTCGGAAAACAGAGATGTTCGAGAGCTCCACGCAACAGCCCTACGTGTTGATTACCAGCTTTTGATGCCTTGTTGAATTGCCCGGAGCAACTCAAGTCATCCTGAACCAGCACGCCCAGATCAGATTCGAGTAAAAATAACTGCAGTACTTGCGTTCCGAGCATTTAGAAGCAGGTGCGCCAGTGTCCGATGGAAAGCATCTCGCATTTGCCTACATTCAACCTTCGAGTTGACCACTGAAGTACCATGCCTAAGTCACACTACAGTAAATGCTGACCTACCTTCACCTGTATTTCAAAACACAGATCATTCTTTGCAGATCCAGCTCTAGAGGTAAACACTGCCATTAAAATGAGCTTTAAAAGAAAAATCCGACAACATAGACCAGGGGTCATCAAACTACGGCCGTTGGGTCGGATCCGGCCCGCGACGTCAGTTCATCCGGACAGCCTGCTGTACCGGAATATATTTGATAAAGCTTATGGAACATGAGAGGCTTTGATATATATATATATATATATATATATATATATATGTCACTAGTTTTCGTTCTAGCTTGCAACTATTGCGAACAATGAGCATGCGTCCCGCGCAAGTAATTTTATCATTTATCCGGCCCACCGTGAGAAATGTTTGGTGATTCCTGATCTGGACAATAGAATGCCTTCACTAATTCCAGGAAGATTACATCAAAACCATCTACAGCATCAGCTGGTTTGGTCCAACTACTCCGTGCTATCAGTACATTCATTGTATACACTCGCTGTTGACAGAAGCCGTGCGACTCGGGAGCAGTAATGGATGACGACCTGAATTCTCAATGTGAACCGCTATTCGTATTGATGTGAAACTTGGGAACTCGTTCAACGGGATCGTTGAGAATGCGCGACTTTAAACCTCTATCTGCTGCAGTTAAGGTCCCAGTGACTAAAATAACAAACATTCAGTTCAGAGCGAATCGCCTTCAACTTTAGATTGCGGGCTGTACTTCATTCATACATCAAGCGCTTCCCAATGACATCTTCAATTCCCCGCTGTTGCAAAAACGGGTGTCGTTCCTTGCCTTTTAAACAAATAAGTCCTTGGGGGTCTCATAGTGATGTACCGAATCCTGATAAACCTAAATTACACTTGCTACCCCTCCTGGAATTCAGTCACAGAATTAATTAGCGGGACCTCCATCTGGTCCTGGACCAACACAATTTGGCCCTACAGTATAGGAATGGTGGAAGGATTTTGAAGCCTTTTTTCCCTTCGATTGTGTCAGCCGACATCCCAACGTACGTTACTTTGACCACATTTTAATGGTGTTTGAAAATTGGCTTAATAATTCATTCTGTTTTCTACACTGCTCTCCATAATCTATTTTGCTTAGCAGACTACATAAGGCACTCGAAAGATTCATTCACCAAATCGAAGCAAGCGAATTTTACTTTCTGTCATACCAGAATCCTTATAAACTGCCAGTGTTCACTCACATTTGTTGACTCATCATTGACGTCGCTATTTTGTCCTTAACGAAATTATCATTTATCTTTCTCTTTGATCGTATTTTACTATTGTTTAACTGTTCAGATGTTGAAATATCTCTTAATGTGTTAGTAAGCGACTGGCATCTTCCTAATTCTGATCGATTGATGGCTTGTTTATGGACTCGGAGCCCCGCCTATTCGTCAAGAGCGGTTTATGCCTTTTAGCTTCCTCTATCAGATCAATTATGTTGTAAACAAGTGCTATAGTGAAGCAAAGGCCTAAGTGCAGTGTTTGTTGGTAATCATGCCCACTCTTCAGCAGATATTCTGTTGGTTTAGTTTGGGCCCCGCCTAGCTATACGACTCCATTGTAACCCGGTCCACCACTATGATCGATTCCAGAACTACAGTGCGTTGAAGACTCGGTTTCAAACAAGGGATTCATATTTGCATTCGCAATTTAACTATACCACATAGCAAGATTGGATAACGAAGGAACCATCTGCATCATATCAAATCTTGGCTAGCCTATTTTGTGCCGTTCGGTGTGCAATGCTGCTACACAAGCCATGGCATATTCAGTCTACTTGCATATCAAGGTGGTTTAAGTTGAAAAGTTGAATTGGAGCTGTCTAATTCACAGGTACGTTGACTTAACTTCCCAAATGCAAACAGGTAGATAATGCAGCTCCTTAATTTTGCATTCCTGTTGGGGCGATAAACGCATGGATTTCCCCCGGCAGCAATCGGTCGCTCACTACCTGCCTCCATATTTGCGACACTGATGGTACTGCGCAGTTTATGGCGTTAGTTCGAGCAACCATCTGTTATCATGACGCTAATTTGTCTCCCGTTGAGTCAGGAAATCTGCTTCACGGACGCAAAACGCATTCAGGCACCCACCCGACTGAACGGTTTGCTACGCAGTCACACTGTGCCGTGTTGCGAATTATGTATCCATAAGCCTGAGGTAGGCAGCTGGCAGTTCCGCAGACTGCCACTTTTCACAACTGCACGCACCACCCAGACCGCCTGGTAATTGGTGGTCAGTAAGCAGGTTAAAGATACTCCGGATTAGGTCATTTGTGCGCATGCGCTAAGGAATATTCGTTTGGCAGCATAGATCCCGGAATTTACTTTCCAGTAAAGGGGTTGTTCTTCACGCAAAAGCACTGTAAAGCATCAACGTTTACAAGTGTAATTCCGCTGCCAAGTATTCTCAGATGCGTTAAACAGAGCACAATGTTTGGTCTGTTGCCTCACAGACGACAGTGAGAAGAGCGAACCACGGTTAACACCTTAACGCTTTTTGGCATTGGCACCAGCAAGCATTGTTACGCGGATAGCACCTAGTGGAACATAACGGCTATGTTGATAAATCTGCCTTATCTACGTGAGCAATCCTGAGGCCTTCGGTGGGGGTGAGGAATCAATGAACGTGGTAGGTTACGGTTAGCGGATGTCAAAGCTTTAAAAGAGCCTCAAATTAAGATGTTATTAAAGATGCACTTGACAGTCCCTATGGACAGCTGGGTGCTTCGGTAACTGAAAACCGAACGAAACCTAGAATCCATGTACTTTGGTACTTCGGCACTTGTCGTTCCTGTGTTAAACTTACAGAGAGTTGTATGGATGGAATTAGGGAACTTCAACCAGAAAAGTGCAACTTCTAGAAATCAGTAACTTGCGTCACATCCATTCCGTATCTTCTTGATTGCGATGCCCGATTTCGAAGGAAGCGTACCGGAGGACAGGTACGGCAAAACTGTGCGTATGCATCAAACCCCACTATTTTTAAGAGCCATGAGTACTTACTGTTGTTTGGTTATCGCTGACTAATAATGTTTAGCGGCGTTCCTCACCACGCACACTTGCTTACTTAAGCTGTCTGTTGTTTTAGAGATTTCAGTAGTTCCGTCGGGCGCACACACAGATATTTGCTACAAAATCCACGGAGTATGGCTTACTATCAGTTCCCATTTCAGTAGTTTAGCCTTGTTCAAACAGTTAGATCAAACCTTTATCTTTTTTACTAATAGTTAAGTGAAGGAAGCAATAAATGTCGTTCTAAACATTTACATTTCATCATCCAATATCAATTTTGGTCCCGCTATTAATCTATATGCCTATCATAAGTCATAATCGTACTTCTGAGTTACGTTACCTGTCAGCGAAATAGTCGAGGGTTACCCCCTATATTCCGGCCTCTTTAGGCTTGAGAACACCTAAAAATTGTATCTCAATACAACAGTCAGACGCACCCGTGACGTAATGCGTACGTCGTGGAATCCTCATGCAAGAACTCAAGCACAAACGCACTGATGCGTTTGTGGTGTCGGAAAGCAATTTGGATGATGTTGGATCAATATAATAATTTCTCCGTATATCAGCACAAGCAGACGAAAACTACAAACATTGCTTATACACAATAATACCCGAATTTGCAATAATTCCAAGGTTATGTTTCATATCACATCCTGAGTCGCGTATATTAGTTTTGAAGCAGAGCATTTGAGGTGCCTAGCTGACCATAAAATTTTATCATGAGGTTAAATCCGATTCACAACCGAGGCTACATGATCAAGTGCAATAATTAGCTAAACTGGTATATAGCTTTAGGGGAAAATATTTGCACTTGGGATTATTGGGCACCTATCAATCATGAACAGTTACTTAATGTGCAACGGTTCAATTCACACTGACAAAGCAGTCAAAATAAATTGCGTCAAGTATTCTAATGGTCGGTACTAGCTCGTGAAGCGAGACCGTATAGTCGTGCCGGCACGGTTTACCAGCCGTGCAGCTTTTCATTTCTTGGGTGTATCAAGCATATGAAGTGAACGTGGCACTTGCTTTATGAGCCAAATTGTTTCCCTCACCCTTTATTGGTGTCTATGTTTATTATCAGGGGAATATATCGTTTACCGAGAGCCGCTGATCATCCGGTGGATACAACAGCGGACCGCTTTACTAGCACCGAGTGTCACAAGGCATCAAATGAACTGGGTCTCCGTCGCAGACAGGCGCGGTTCTGTTTCCATTCTCGCTTCGGTTATGCAATGCTCGCTGTGCTTCGTGCCGCGCATGCAGTTGGGTATCACTGTCCGAGAGCATTTGCTGATCGTCGCTGGAATTGCACGTCAATTCATCGGCTACCTGAAGTGTCGCCGGAACTGAGACGAGGTAAGAATTTTGCACTTCGCTAACGGTAGTCTTAGATATTAGCAGCAATGGACAAGGCTGTCCCTCTAACTAAACATTGCAACCATACTTTTCAAGGTAAATAGGGTGCTGTTATCACGAACTATGAAGCAAACACAAGCAAGCATGAGACCAACAGAAACCGGAGACTAGTATTCACAATAGACATAGTTGATGACGGACTCACCGTATTGCGACCTGGTTTTGTAAGCTTTCTTATTATGTTCACTGCACTTTAATAGTATGCACCAGGTAGATTAAGTTAAGTAGGACGAAGCGTTAAGTTCATAAGTAATCTTTGCAGCGGTATACCGGTTATCTAATTTATGATTACAAGATTTCGATGCTATATTACATTGTTTCTCTACTACCTGGCTTATTGAAGGCGCGATGTAGAGCAACGTCTGCAATGGCAGTTTGTTTACTAGCCTGGTGCAATGAATATGATAGATAGGCCTTGGGATGGGCGACGGAATTTTTACATTTTTCCCTGCCGAGTACACAGCAGGGTTTTTCTCAAAATAAGCATAGGCCATTTTCCATGTTAATCATGTTCGCTGTTCAGATAATGTGTAGTTCATACTATCGATTAGGTGCAGGTGAATTACTTCGAACTTCATATCAGGTAACTCATGTCCTGTTTACCTCCCTAGGATGGCTGATAGATTAGATAATATATTACTACTACTAGGTTACTATTACTATGTTATCCTCTTCATGTTACTCATCAAAAATTCGCTATGTCAGTGCTGGTTCCTCATCATCGTGTTTTTCTTAAAAGAGGAAGCTAGTAGTCTCATGATGGAACAACTGATCAAAAGGCACGGGTCAATGAATTTGTTAACCGGCTACAGTTACTGTTACCAGCTAGCCATTTATACCAGACTAGAGATAACCATGCTGGCGATACAAAATAGCTAATAACTTACAGATGCTACACTGAACTTAACTTGTGTATGTGTTATATTAGCCTCAGTTCGGTGAAAAGTACAGTTACAGAATTCCTAGCAATTTACTGATGCTGTTGCTCCGAGATAATATTATAATGCTTACGTTTAAGCTCCTTGTGCTAAACATGATTACCAGTTGTAAATTCGAATCACTTAACTTTATCCATAGTGCCTTAAGTGTATTTCTAAACGTCCCCTCAATCAGGAACTCGGGAGCAGGCTCTCGTGCACTCTTTCTCAAGTGCTGCGTTATTGTTCGAAATCGCGCGGTATTGTGCGTTGAACAAAATACGCTTTTGCTCATGCGGCGATGAAGATATGGCATTTTCCAGGCCTGCTTATCGGTTCACTCAAAATCCACCCGGTCAAGTTGCATACTTTGACTCTGGAGGTGCATTAGTATACGAATCAGGGATGAATAATGGCTTTACGGAGCAGACCTCAAATGTTCAAGCAACACAAATGACGGAGGGTCAACCAACAGTTAGCCGATTTTACTGGGCTGGTTGTTCAGATAATCTCAGGGTTGCACGGGAATATGCTTCTGCCTTCTTGGGTTTCCCTAACGTCCGCATACTGCGCACGGCGGATGCAAATGCACACAAACGAAGAATGCTTGATACAGAGAGTAACAGGCATGAGCGCCAACCGCGGTCGACCAACTACCTGGGTAGGGAGAACCAGGATCAATCTGAAGACGAAGAACTTCGTGCAAAGGAATCCCACATGCAATTCCGAAAAATGCCTAGAGGTCTGCAGCAACATTGGTCATACCCCACGGCAGACGCGTCGGCGCAACATCCTATTAACTACCGCCCACATCAAACATCGCAGCTACGCTCTCCACGGAGGCAAAGCTTACCCTACCAGAGCAGACGTTGGCTACGACGGCCTCCTACCAGTGGACGCCGAAAGCAGTCACCGATCACACGGATAATGGACCGACACAATTATCTTGCAGGAGTTGTGGTGAGATTTGTTGTTTTAAGATTAGCGGGTAGCCGATTTTACGGATAATGTGATCTGAGTAGACGGGATTCTATTAACCATATTTAATTGCAACCAATGTTTTGACAATGAGTAATTAAGGCCTATCTACTTCATATCGGAGCGTCACAACTATCCATATCAGGTCACATACTTAGACGTTGCCCTAAGTCTTTACCTTTATTACCGTTATTCGATTTAATTAAGCAGCCAGTCTACAGGTAAGTACTTCACAAAGTAGACGTGGGCCGAGAAAGTGTGAGGCATTTCGTCTTCCTCAGCTTCATATGACCTAATATATACGATGTAATGATATGTTTTTCCTTTCTGGATAACGACAGAAATCATTTTAACATGTTGTTATTTTATCTTCCTTTTGAGCAGCAGCGATTAAGACCATAGTTCGGTTGGACGTAGCATATCATACATGTTTGCAAAGATTGCTGAGTACAAAGATGTGTAAAGTACATGGGTGGGTTATCTAGCGTTTAAGCTAGAGGTAATTCATCACAGTCCACTCTCAGTCAACAGGCGTTGGCACGTCTGGAAAGTCAACAGAGAACGCTGTTACGACCTTCTGGGTCTCGTCAGTAGTGCGCCATCATCGAACCCCTGCCGGGTTTCTACCCCATGACTTGTGGATACCAGCAGCTTGTGCCACTAAGCCTATGGGTGACGGCGGCGGACCTGCATGAGTATCAGTTGGCTATGATATAGCCCGGCTCGTTTTCCACTGCCATGCAAGTAGTTAGCTGCACGCGCTAGGACTTGCAGCAAAGCGACTGTGTGCGACACAGCACTTAAAAGCGATGCGGACGGATTTTATGTTACTAATGAGTAGTGGGGATTTTAGTGTTTGCTGCAACTTGTCATCATGATCTTTCTCTGTGTACAGGAAACACTTTACAGCGGCATCAGTTATCATAGATTTTTGGGCAATAATCGATGACGATCTTGAAAACAGAGCATAAATTTAGCGAATGCGACCAAAAGACCATTTCAGACGGATACAACTTAAGTGCTTCTAAGCAAAGAGGATGTGACACCATTTCGTCTGATGCACTGCACTCCGCGGCAGTAGTGAAGGCAATACCACGAGTTAGCTCAAGACCCTCCGCATAATTTTCTTAATTTATTCCCAGTGATGTATGAAAACTTCCTCTGAAATAAATATACAGCTGAACTGTTCGCGTCACTTCTTTCATTTAATTGGAGCACAAAGAACCGTGAGGATAACCAGACTAACGACTTTGCCCTACAAACTGGTTAAAATGGAAATTACGTGTAAGGATGTTGCCTTCAGAAATTTCAATCTAGCAAGAAGAAACCACCTTTAGACGGTATACTAATTTCATGTATTTAGCTTATTCGGCCCAGCTATCTATTTAAAATATGTGGAATAAAAGCGTTGATTATATCAAGTACAGTTAAGGTGTGATGTTAACAGTGAAAAAACTATCACCTGATTCACCAGGCATGTGCGAAGCTAGTCACGAAATCCGTCTGGTTGCACAAACTTGGTATCGATCGTCGAATCGCTGAGACTTCAGCTAACTGAAGGAGGCGGGAGTTGCTCTGTTTGTTAGTCACCTTAATCCCTGCACATGGGTTTTCACAGTCAGAGTAATCAAGTATATGGCGGGTAGTACAGTTAGTGGGTAGATTTGAGCCGTTTGCAACGGGAAGTGCTCTGCAAGCCTTGCTGACATCCTTCTCTCGGTTCGGCCATTTTACTCCCTATCGCAAGCCTCACCAATTGATGGTGAGGCCAGTTATCATTTTGCCCTCTGACCAGAGCTACTTGAACTCAGTGAATTTCGACTGTCATAAATTTCACCGATAAAATCATACGTTGGTTGACCTTGATGTATGCAACCTCCTTATTCCACAAATTGTATGCAAAAAGCTGAACAGAATATGCGAAATCACTGAATTCAGTTCATTCTATCACAATGTGTTTCTTGTCAAATTAAATAAATAGCTACAAGGGGTTCTCAAAAAGAAACAGAACCTTTGCGATAACATCTTTATTGCTCACTGCATCACACTTTAAGCACTCTTCCCCTCAAAGTATTCCCCTCTACTGACCATACATCGTTCCCAACTGTGCTTCCAATTTTGGAAAACCTCTTGAAGGACAATTTCCGGAGTGTCGCACCAGTCTCTTGTTACGTTGTTCCGAATCTATTCAATGGTTTAGAAACGATGTCCTTTCAACGTACTTTTAAGTTTGGGAAACAGGAAAATGTCTGCAGGGGAGAGATAGATGGATAGGACACAACGATAGCGTGATGTTTCGCTAGATAACTGCGGACAGGGAGCGATGCGTGAGCCGGCGCATTGTCATGATGCATCATCCAAGTCTGTTTTTCACACAGTTCAAGGCTCTTTCTGCGCAAATCATCCCTCAAACGCGCTAGGATTTGGTGACATGATCCTACGATTCTGCTCACTTCATCAGCAACTGCTCGAACAATAAAACGACGATTTCCACGCATTACAGCACCAGCGTTCTCGACATGATCATCGTCAGTTGAAATGGAAGGTCGTCCAAGCTTGGGATCGTCATCGAGCAACATTCTGCAGTGTTCAAAATACTTAAAAACCACTCATAGCACTGAATGCAACTCATACGGTACTCCCCGTATGACAGTTTAACCAATTAAAATATCTCTAAAAGCTTCGCCAACTTGGTAGCAACATTCCACACACAAGCGTTGTTTTTCAAACTCTTTCATTATCAGGAACAGCTTGTGCACGTGCTCACCACAGCTGCTGAGCTCGCCAACTAACAGTCAAAGCGAAATGCCGCAAACGGTAGTTGGTTGTTTAAACAAGGTTCCACATGCGCTCAGTAGCCGCCGAAGTATCCCTTTGCCGGTTGGCCGGCTATTTCAAGAGTTCGGTTTTATTTTGAACACCTATCGTAAACAAAATGAAGCGGCTCCTAGAAATCACAAGTTAAAATGACATGTGGAAGGGTGTTTAAAAAATCTATATTTAACTAGGATGGAAAAATAAAACTAGGTAATTATGGTTGCTCATTTGTCAGACGAACGGTCTGCTGAGCTTACAAATTTTGCCCCCAATGTTTCGCCACCAAGCAAGGTAATACCACCATTACGTTAGAGTGTAGCATAGAGTAGCGGAGCGAGGCGTAACTCAATCTAAACAGTTATCTTTCGCTTTAACATATGAGTTAGCTTTTCCTACTCATATGGTACGTCTGTTTCCCGAAGCCGACGTAAGAAATGATAAAATTTTATGCGGATTATTGCAACTAAAGCCATCCAAGGGCTGTTTATCGTCATCTTCAGTGACACCTTCTTGTAACCAACTGAAAAACTTGAAAGTACTAAGGAACGAAATGAAATTTTACCAAGTCATAACTTTTGCCAAACTCAGCACAGTTGTGGCCGAACAACATCATTATCCTAGGCATGGTAGCGTGTTATTGGACCATTTTTAAGAGGAATCACTTTGCCTTCGTGAAAACACCGTGGTTTGATGCAAACAGATACACCATCACCGTAGTGATTGTGATCACTCACACTGCACGAGACGCCTGCAGGCCTCTTATCGTTTGGTCCGGCAGGCTACTTAAGGATACACAGATATTTGCATTCTTAAACTTAGCCCGCGTGAATGTAATCGCATTATCAGTTTGGTCTTCAAACTGTTCAGATTGCCTAACATGGTAATGCTGAAAGTGAAAGACTTGATAAAATAACCAATTATGATGACAAGCTCATGTGCCTTATATTTCAGCTGCCCTTTTTCCCGTGAAATGTAGCCATCACAACTCACACTGTATGGGTCCATAATGAATGACCAATGTACGCAGATGGGCAGTTAAGTAAAGTTCGGTAGTGTTATTCAAAAGCAAGCTATTACGACTCGATGAAAGAACACATCCATTGGTAACATATATTTCGTGTGGTGCAACTCTCCACTGAGACATTGTTACTGATGGAACCGGGGATACTCACTAACAGCGGGTCCTGGTGGGACGAAACAGCCGCTTAGTGCTTTTCCAGATATGTGTGAGACTAGCTGGTTGCCAGCTAGCTCCATGCGTTATATTTTAGGCGCGATTGTCGTTAAAAAATGGCAGGAGTCTCATTATGCTCGGCATTACGATTAAGTTAGTTCTCAAAAACTTGAGCCCGCAAGTTAAGAACATGTTGCCATAAAACAAGGATTATGATTTACCTTGGTGAATATACACCACGCATGTGTGAAACATTCAAAATTGAGCATGAGCTCAACCATTACTGCATGTGATCTGCAGAATTCCATCTTCCGGTCAACCCGCCAAGTGGGCGCTTATGAGTATGCGGACGGATGACGGCGACCGAATCTGCACACTTAATGATCAGTAGCAACATCTTGTAATTTTCTTGGAGAATCTAGGCGTGCTGGCACTGCGACTTGAAATGCGCTGACAACAACAATAGGCTAAAGGAAAATGAACTGCGCATACATGTGGCGCTCAAACCCAAATTTTAGAGTTGATCTGAAGACGCCACCATTTGCCCCTTCTCTTTCCTTAAAAGACCAAGAGCACAGCTTACCTTGGCACAGTCCGGTCACACATATGATCAAGCGGTTCCAGCGCTCGCCACTAGTCTCAGCTCCGGTCTAAAAGTTTACCTTAAGAAGACTGGTGCCAGAGACTCTGCACCTTGTCTTATCGTCGGGTACAAGGTGATCTCATCATGACTTACCGTGGCTTGCAGCTCAGTGACCTTCCCATGTTGAGGCCGCTGCTCCCTTTGTGAACGGCATGCAGCACATTTGGACACCAGTACGCGCTTGCAGAATCTCAGATAAAACAACTTCTCCAGCAAATATCCATCTAATGAAGAGTGGTCAAGATTGTGAACAATGTGCAGAACACATTGGACTGGCGAAGTATCTGCCGCAGTTCAAAACACTACTAGACCCCATTTCTTCACTATTCGACTTAGAGGGCAATGACGGCTCGTGATTGTGTACCTTGTATTACTGTGAGTCAGAAAACTTTATATGTTACATGATCACTTAAAGGACGATGGGGGACAGACACTTTTAATTTTTGGTAGCAACTTTAGTCGGATTTATACGGCTTTATATTCGTACTTACTTCCATAATACAGCATTACTTTAAGAGAGTCGAAACTATGAGCCAACCTATGCAAGCGAGTAACCAGAACTGCAGGTTATGATATGATAAATATAGCAACCCAGCAGTGGTAGTACCGTGCTTTCAAATCTGTAATGCTTATCATGGAAACGCTGTGCAGAAAGACATGTAAGCACTATACAAGGAGGCAGACTAAAGGCTACCCAATATTAGGGTACCAGTCAAGCATCGTACTGTGATCAGTTTCGTAAGAATGCTGTTGACAATTGTATCGTGAGTAGATTAACATACCAGCATACCGAGTTCCGTACGTGGTTATCTCGACTTGGATATAGATAGAGGTACACAAAGCAAGGCAAATCAATGACTTGATCAAGGGGAATGAAGTCCCTAGTTTTAAAGTTAGCCTCGATAGGATTAGCTGCACTACCTCGTGAAGATCCGAAAGACCATGAACACGTTTGGTTGGGTAAACTTGTTAACATGATGAAGAGCCGACTGCAGTTACACCTGTGTTTTAAGTTTCTATATTCGGCTCTCTCCCGCTTAGCATCGCATTCATCAACGAGCTCGCTGTTAACGCATACTATGAAGTAAAGCATGAATAATGTTGTTCTTTGTTTTGACTTTGTAGTTGTTTTGCATTCTCCATATTTTACTGCCACCTGCTTGGCTTGTACTGCGGCAGCGCAACTGGGGTATTTCCTACCACTATCTAATGTGTAGTCTACATGTATGTAGTCTACATTAAAACCACTTACAAGGAATTCATCGCAACTGTATTTGGTCAACCAGACAACGACATAAAAGATCTCGCTTGGTGGTCGTTATATATTTATTCTGAGCTCGGCTGCGTACCAATCCGCACTGTTGCAAAGTTGGAGAAGTTGTGGTTCAAAATCTGGCTAGAAAAATCGGCTGCTCGCGTCCTCCATAATTAAGTAATTGGTTGCGATAAGCAGCATTCCACTGCTATCCAACTTGCTCCTACCGCTGTACGCAGCATCCCAGAGGAATTGGTTCTTCTATCACTCAATCGACGGCTTTACGAACGCCTTGATTATGCTACCGCCTTTAATAGGCTACGAGTAGGCTACTGTTGTGGTAGGTTGATTTAAGCGATTTAGTACTTCATCAAAACAAGGTCTAATGATATAACCAGGAGCATTATGCTAGGCACTATGCGACCGTTTCATCCTTCCTAAACGCATAGACAGTACGAATTCTTTCATTTTATAGAGAGCTTGGATACATCTTTCCGAGACTTACAAGTGGCGTGTTAGACTTTGAAATGCTTGGAAGACCCGACCAATATGATAAGCCGAACAACTGTGGTCATACTACGCTAAGTTACAGTTTAGTACCATGCAGACCACACCGTTCCTATTGCCCTCCCTCATTTGTCAGCGGTGTTCCAACTTTATGTGATCATCCACTGCATGCCATAATTTGCAGTTTAGTCACGTTACAGACTACCATTGAGTAGCAAGTGAGTTCAGTTGCGCCTAATGAGATTTAGCCAAAATAAACCCTTTCAAGCCTCCAGTAACAACAACAAAATTATTAGGCAGCTGCTTTGCCCATGCGGCGTTTGACAACACTATGCATTTCCCGGGTCAGATGAAAGTGTCGATGACCTATGCTGGCATGCAGAGTGAACATCAACTAACGACCTAGATGAACGAATGTGGAATGATGAGGCTACTCACCACTGCTTCAATCGTTCCTGCCTTGCTGTGAACTGTATGATCATAAAATGCTGTCCGTGGAAGAACGATGCCAAAATTGTGTACAATCAAAATCCCTAGGAAATTATAAGCGCGCCCTCTAACAAAGGATTTAACTGCCGTGAAGGTGACAAGCTGCAGTCATCCATATCTAAACTTGCATTGGGTAGCCGATTTTCCATCGCATAAATCGGCGGCTGTTTACATAGGCTTAGACATCATCGTATGGATACTCGGGCTGACGGCTATCAATGTCCGGAGAAGCACTTGTATTCCCTCCGTCGAATTAATTCACACAACTGATATGCGTACACACGCATATCGGCTATGGCCTATGAAAATCGCAACGATGCTTCAGGAACAAGTGTTTTACACGCATCGATTGACTTCTTTGTACAAAATTTCGCTCATCATCAAAGGTGAATTTTTTTCTACCGTACTTTTTCATTGCTTACCCTTTCCATGAGTATCCGGTGGCAACAATACTGGATTCAAATCAAATTCGGTAGCACTACGTTACAATGATTTGTTTAACGCATGATTTGAACAAACCGTATTATATCCCACAACCTGGTACTAAGCTCACCGACATACAAAACCAAAGAACGCTAAGGGCAACAAGCAAGAAACTCGTGGAATCTTTAGCCCAGTTCTTCAGTGATGTGTAAAGCAGAGCCACATTTCTTCTAATTAGAAATTTAGGATGATGACGCTAAGCAACAAAGGCGGAACCGGGGCTGAAGCTTCAAACTTTATTCCAATCCGACTTCTTACAGCGTATTTTAACGGCATAGAATCCACCGTTAGTAAATGTGTGCACTTTAAGATTTAAATCAGCTAGTTCGCCAAGTAATTTGAAAAGTACACAGAAAAGGCGGAGTTCGACAGATGTACGCATTTCAATGGTCTCACCAGTGCCGATAACGATAAAAAGTAATTATATATACAACCGTTCGAGGGCGTGTATGTATGTTGCATCCGAAAACGGTTGTATGTAATTACCGGTTATCGTTATCGGCACTGATGAGAAGATACGAAATGCATGCATCTGCCGAACTTTGTCTTCCACTGTACTTCTCAAACTTTTATCTTGTTAAAATGGTCTGTGCTAATACGGGGTATCAGAGGAATTGATTGTATAAGGAAGGATTGGCCACAGTCGCAAATGAATACACCTAGTGGCTGAAAATGGCCAATCGATCACCGGGCTACTTGATAAACCGGTAAGGGTCTTTTCATCTTCAAAGTTGCCTATCCAGAGGTTTGAGCTTTACTATCTTTTTACAAAGTTGTGGTACTGACAAGTATTGATCTATGTAGTAGCATCTTTCTTTGACAGTGCTGCCTATTCTTCGTGGGTGATCAACTCAGCAAATGTGCTTCAACTATTTTGCATTTGATCACAAAGACCATGGAAATACGGGCTACCCGGAATATCCATTAACAGGTTTTAGAGGCAAATTAGCAGCTAGTTTGAAAATGTATTTCACTAACCACAAAAGCAGTACATGAATGAGGCCGGATAAGCATAACAGAGGATTTAAGTTGTTGCCACACAGGGTATCGAATATATCGACATTTGATGCTATCCACAGATGTGCAACGAAATTTAAGAGTATGTAACCCAGTGCGGTTTTTATTACAGCATATCGCTTTTGTGCAATCAGAATCCAGGTGCCGAGCGTTATAAGAAAAATTAGGAAAGCAATCACCGATTTGAATCATTCGTGTTATTCACCATAATGAATTGGCCTCGTCTCTTTTCGTACTGCATGAGGGTGATACAAGACTGACCTATCTCAAATACCAGGTTTCTCTAATTCCCGAGCTAAGTTGCACCCCATACTTGTGGCCACTTTGGAAGTGGTCAGATTTACGACCAAAAAGAAGCCATCAGCTCAAAAGATCGGTTGTCACGGTTTCACATATTTAGTGCACTGCAGCTAGGCACAGGGGGAATACCATTTTTCGAAACTCAAGAATAATCTGATGCTATAGAATATATTTGAGTGTCACAGTCCAAGTAACATGCAAAACACCATAAAGCAGCTAATCATTTCAAATCTCCTTAATATCAAGGCATGTTGAGACAATAAGTGCCGATGTATCGTCATCCACAAGCAATACGATTTATATGCGTCTTCTTGCTACCTGTGTTTCATCAAAAATAATATTTTTTCTATCAGCAAGGAACAAATGATTAATCAGTCCTGCGTTAAAAACCCTTTTTATCCTTTATCGGCATTCATTAGCTCATGGAAGTTAATCACAAGACAGTTTGCAAATGTCATGGTGTTAGCGGCAGCTGTGCACAACGCGTTTGCTTTCATCAGCTCAGAAGGATAGACGACGAAGTCATGCAAAAAGCATTGAAAGTTCGATATCTGGTGAGTCGCACATTGATGTTTTAAATTTGTTTGTTCAAAGACATGCATCGTTGTACTCAAACAGATTAGTCCAGAGACTGAGTGCATGACGTGCCATCGTAGTTGGAAGTTAAGTCTGCTTCAGAAGGTATCCTGACAGATTAGACTACTTAGAATGCTTTTTCATTAGAAGAAAATCCCACTATATTGCGTTTGTTCTGCGGTTAACTGGAGCTACAGGGTAGAAAAGCATTAGGAAATACTCAAAATGGTAGGTACATGAAAATTGTCGAAATCCATTATACTTATCTGGTCATAGCGATGCAACATCGAGTGTATATTACTATACACTTCAAGTGCCAAGTACTTACGTTAAAATGCTTACCTTGCTATGCCATGCTAAGATGCACTATTACGCCAGTAACCAACGGGTGTCCCGTGTATAAGGCAACATTAGTGTGTACAACTTCTGGCCATCCGAATTCACGTGATGTGCCAACAAATAATCAACTTGTCTATCTTGTGGACTTAATTAACCACCTTGGACATGCGCTCGGCATTGTAGCAAAAACGTTTGATTCTTATGTAAACTGGCCGTATTTTCGCACCGTGTATTCTTCGTTAAAATCCTTTCAGTGTGTACGTAATATTTTGCAACATTAAAACTCCCCCGACTCCTCGCACTTGCATCACTGAACAACTAGGCCAATACTCTCACGCCAATATGGGAGCTGCTAAAATGTGTCATAGAATGACAGCTGATGGAAATTTTTACTCCCCACACCAAACATTCGGAAATAGGTAACTAAAAAGTAACCCATTAGTATGTCGAGGGGAAATTATACTCGAAGTGAATAATCAAATTTTTGAGCGACTCTAATGGCCTTTGAAAGTAATCTTTTCAGGATCCTGATGCACTCCCTAAATTTGTATACAGGCTGCGAAACAGGTCACATTGGATTCCAACAGGCGGTTGGTCGCCAAAACGTTCACCGGTGCCGGATTTGCAGACGAAGTGGTTGACCCATCAGAACTGGTTTTCAGCGAGCATTCGCCAGACTACTGCAACTATGAGCCACAAAGGGGATCTGTTGGTACTTATGGTCGGTAAGTTAAAACGTTGTTTTTCATGCACGGGTAGACATGCACAGATAGTTCAGCATCTTGCCCAATGATCCTGACGTAATCAAGGAATGCCTCTCATTTTGACCGATTAGCTCAGAAATTACTTCATATTAATACACGTTGCATCGCATGGAACTAGACATGAGTCGATTTGTCCCATGATCAGAATTTTGAGGCATCCTTGCATCGGTGCTCAGCCGGGGATAAATGACCAAGAGGGAATTTCTGGTTAACAGTACGCTACTTATCATTAATAAGTAGCAAAACAACTTTAAATATATTTGATGTAGACTGCCACAACCACACCATTAGACGACCATTGCACCTACTAAAAAGGATTGGCCGTCGTTTCAACCCTACTGGACCAGTCCCGTCAACTGCACATCAGGGACGTGCATCACGGGGAAAGGTGATTATACACAATATATCACAGCTATGTACTGAGTAATGTTGGCCGCAACTCTTGCCCCGCAGCTCAGCGGTCTTGAACAAGGAGGCAACAGTGCAGAGTCGTGGGATCTACCCTACACAGGGGACATTTGGAACACTTGCTTTTGACGATTCCCAAAGGGGTGAAATTGTCTTTTGGCGCCTTTTTGGATGAGCTGTGGCAAATATCCACTGAACGTTTGCCTTGGATCTCAAATTCCACTTATCACTATGCGTGCTTGGTATGAGTTGGACGGTTACTCAGCTAATCTGCGTTCATCAAACGGAACGACTAATCATAGCCTACTGAGTCAGAGCACCGACTAAAGCGATCGTACTAACGAAAGCGTATTAGTAGCTATATGGTCCGATGAGGAATAGCTTAAACCACCTTGTGCATGTTGACGTATCCATTCGCAACCGTGCTGAATGCCTTAAAAATGCTAATTGCGTATAGTCAAGGAGTAGAATTTTTGTCAGATTTCGAGCAAACTGGTAACGAACCTAAACTTAATGAAGTTATGTAAATTTTAATTTACACGGACTCATTTTTATGCTCACAGACTTTAAAATTAAATGCATAATTTTCCTTTTTATCTGTAAAAGTCACTGCCACTACTAGATCTGTGGTGGGTATTTAAAAAATCTGCTTCTTTTCAGAACTGGTGGCATCCGTCTACTGCTCAATCACATAGCTGTTCTTGTCTTTGATTGCTTTCAGTTTATGCTCGCTGGAAGATGCAGGCACGGCAAACTGTCTGAATATGTGCTGCGGAAGAGGCTACAAGAACATAACTGCTCAGGAAACTGTTCAGTGTAATTGTCGCATGGGTGAAGGCTTCAAAGTTAATTGTGATGAATGCCGAATAGAAGTCATGACTTACAGATGTCTTTGATGCTACAGACGGGCGATGCAATTAGTCATACGATTACGGGAACTAAACATAGTGATGAATGTGAAACTGTTTGGTTTTGTCAAACTTCAACGTGCAATACACCATATTCTTGTGTCCCATATCCAAGCATACTCAAAGTTTGTACATGAAACATGACCCTATCTGAAAAAGGTATACTATTTGAGTGCGATACGCACTTTTGGAAGCGACTCTTTCACAGACCGGTGCCATTAAGTTTCTCACAAATGATTCCCCTTGCATTGTTCCTATCCCTCATCAGAAATGTACATACATTCACATTCGCATTACTAATGTGCACTGGTCGATGACATTATCTTTCTTTGAATCACAACATTCTTCTTAATGCCTTGTTCATCGTCTGATATGAGTGGCTACATACTGGCATTTTGGTGAGGAGTGTATATTTGGAGTATACAAGTGAACAAAAATATGACTTAAAGCAGAACATCCAGGGCTGAAAGAAATAAAACGGAGCCCAATAATTATAACGAAATATATGACCTAGCCGTAATCAACGTATCTTTCCACCGTATTGTGACTGCAGCTTAGTAGTGACACTTCTTTAGAGCATTCTTTAGTTTTCTGCGGGTGCTCAAAACCGTAAACATGAAAAGGTGGATCCCGTTCTCTCTCAGCCACTGCTACAGCTACACCGGTGTCCCCGGAACGCCGTTCAAACGTCTCTTCAACTCAATGAAGCACATTGGGAGTCAGCTTCCTCCTGTTGTTCCCCCCCCCCCACATTTGCGCTGAGTAGTGGTTTCCTTTCGTCTGTAGGCATTGATGATTTGTTTGCCGTGCTCCCGTTTACATCAGCAACTTCGGCAGCTTCATGAGTGGTTTTGCCGTCCACGAACACAAGCTTGGTAAGGATCTCTTTCTGTACCGATGAGATTCGCTTGCACTGTCACTACAACGGAAATGCGTTCTCTCGTCGTGAGTCACTCATTTTGGTCGCTTCGTGTAGTACAATACCAATAAAACGAGGCTGCGCTTGGTGAAGTCCTAACAACTTACAATTTTTCAGTAGTCGTGCGTGAGATAGGGGAACATTACATCACCGTTTTTGACCGAGGTAATCGAGGATCACGATCAAGGGAAGGGCTTGCACTAACACATGCTGCTTACACAACTCGGTTGCATTAGCATGCCCACAATGTGGATTGAAGATCGTCTAGTTGCCGCACTCCACCCTTTCTGCTATCAAATAGCTTATTTGGTGCTTAAGATATAATGTGTCCAATTTCCTTTGCTAAAAGAACAACGTTTTTACCAAATTTGTAATTTCATTTGTGAGACCTGTACTTTACCATGAAATCATTAAAAAATGATAAGCATTATTTTGATTTGCCTGTTTCTATTTTACTGCTTCCTGTTTCGCTTGAATTGCGGCAGAATAGAAGGGGTATTTCTCAATCCTAGATTATTTACAGCATGATAAATTTTGAAAACCTAGCTTCGGGGTGGGGTTTTGCTTGGAAACTGCAAATTCTTTACAGGCAATGTATTACTATCTTTTCTTCGAGCTTACTGTAAGAAATGAGGCGGTCTGTGGCGTCTTGAAACATAATGTCAGGGGTGTTTTCATGCAGTATACTGTCACTAACAGCTAAATTGTGTGAGCTATGCTGTGTAGTGTAGCAAATTCAGCCTAGTGTGTGTGCTTGAAATGTCGATATTAAGCGTAGTACCGCAATTCCGCTGTTTCTTAACATTCAGTGTTGCTAATCATCCAGTGGAAATAAATCTAAGCCTATTTTCTAAGAAATGCGACTCATCCACAGACACAGGAAGTCGATTTAGTCCCAATACTATCAAAGCACCTTTCCTGACCACAATTCCATTGAGCATGATGCTGAAATAGTGAAAGCTAGCATTGGATATTAGTGTGCACTTCAGGCATATTATCATATACAACTGTTTCCTTGCCCAGTACTTTCTGCTGGGTCGCACTGCCATTCGCTCACTTGAAAAATGTTTTTATCTGACAACCTTTGGCATTTATCACTGATAAGCACTAAGACGTACTGCTTCGATTTTGTCGTGGAACTTCATTGCATTTGTAAGAGCCTGGCGATGTGATCATCGGTATGTTAAAGCAGTGCTTTTACCTCATGAGCTGCGATGCTTATGCGAATGAGTTGATCCTAAATTATGTGGTGCTTGTAGCTGTGGGAAATACTAAACCTGCGTGCCGAGATACTACTGTCAGTTGCTATAAAAGGGGACACGGTAAAATATTGTAGGTGATTATTATCGGCTTGTCTGACAATAAAGTTCAAACGCAGCCACAAAATTCAAGCATTTGCCGCGCTATGCTGGTCTTCTACAATATTCTGAAAAGAAGGCTTTGCATAAAATCATAAGTAGGCAGCCTACGCACTAACAGCAATTTGGCATGTCCTTGGCAACTTCTTCGTCCATCTGGGTAGATCGTATCTCAGTAACATTGCCATGAATAGAGGTAAGGAAATGGCTAAGTAGTCAGTGCATATACACAGAACCCATAATCAGAGTTATAATGATGATGTACCAACAACACATGCTGTAATATTCGGTTTCGAAAGGGCCAGAATCGGAGCTTAGAGCAAATGTCTGATGCTCATACCTGTGTGTCAACGAACAACACTACAAAAGTGGATTACTTTCAAGGCTGAAGGAACGTAGAAATGACATCATAAGGGAAAAGTGCCAAACAATACAAGCTTTTCACTTATGACAGGAAACAGACGGGGAAACAAGATCAAAGTTGTGGAGACAATCAGTGAGGGAGACGGCAAAAAACAAGCAGACAACGACGCTTCAGAAGAAACTGCCTTGCCCATATAAGTGTCTGATCTGTTTCTGAATGATTAGAGGTTGGAAAATATCACAATGCACAAAGCAGAATCTTCTTGAATGAAGTGTATGAAATCAGGACCAGCTGGGGGTTGTTCACTGCATTTGTTTGATTGGGATCAGCAGCGGAGTGCCGAGGAAAGGAAACCAATTCGACAACTATGCGCTGAATGCGACAAATAGAACAGTGCTTCAAAACTTTTTTGTATGTATGTCTTACAAATTTATGCCAAAAATTGATTTGCCTTAGACTTTGGTGTGTTCCAGAGACCCGGAGGTATGCCCGAAATGGTGGGACTGTCTGCCACACATGCAACTTGCCGCAGCGTTTTTTCCTTGGACAATCTAACGGATTCGGCGTCTACCTTAACAGGAATCAGTCCGTTATGTTGGTTTCTTTGCAAAAGTACGTCTTCGCAATCATCTTCCTCATCGTCCATGTTGTTTATACCATCTGATAGGTCATTCGTTTGGTTTAGTAAACGAAATCCAACTTTTTGTGCTCTAGTAGGACGACCAGACCAACGTGAGTTGTTTGATTTATTTGCTCTGCGCTGAGGTAGATCAGATTTACGCCCACACCAGCACATTCGAATACAAACAAGCGTGGAGATGAATGCGAACACCACAGCAAGCATCAGAGACCCAGCCAGGATTACTCCAGTGCGTCCACTAGACATCCACTTTCCTGTAACTGCAAGTGCACTCCCAGGTAGTTGATCCAAGCTGGAGACCATGGAGTATTTAGTATCTGAAGGTGGATACAAAAATGACTACAATCGTTACAACTTGTCTACTGAGGATCACAAAATCCCAATTGTGTAGGTAAAGGAGGGATTAAACGCAGTGAAGACTCACCATTTTAGCAGCTGAATGAAGCATCGATGTGTAGCTCATCATTATAAAAGAAGGATAGATGATTTTACTATGAGCACATTTATGTCCAGGTAATAAGAATATTAATGAAACCGGCGACACTAATTCAGGTTATATTTGTTTTATTTATTAGAGTAACCTTTCACACAATGGCGCCTTTTGCTATACTAGTTTAACTGGTTCCGAGTCTGGTCCAGATTCCCATAAAGTTGCTATCGAAAGTGACATTTCATTGCATACGAAAGAGCATAGGATGTGACACGATGAAATTTGAACCGGTGATTTATCTGGTTATACCAGAGCACTGAAGGAAGTGGTGATCCCGTGCGGTACTCAGTCCAGAATGCGGTTGTGTTAGCCAGTAGGAAAAGAATAGAAAGGGTGAGTTGCGCGACTGCTCACCATCTCGTGTTAATAATTCATTTGAACCACTCGGTCAGTTTATATACTTTATGCGTGATCCTCGGATCCGGATCTAAACTACTGGTCATTGAATCAGATATTTTTCCTCGAACTTCTCACCTGAGTGTATCACAAAATAGGCCGCAGTTAAATCGCAGCAGCTATTGATTTATGACTCGTACGTATACAGGCTTCTGCCAGAAAAGTGATCTCCTATATAAGTCGAACTCTTATTTTGAGGGATTCCAGGCTTCAAGCCTTTAAAATATGTGTTAGGCCGAAACTTGAGTACTGTACGATAGTGCATAGTAATCTGAGAAAAGTGGATATTATAGCACTAGAAAACATTCAACGATCATTCAAAAGAGGTTTCTGAACATGCCTAATACTATGGCATACCGTGAGCGATACGAGGCGCTAAATTTGGGGCCGCTATGGCTACGCAGACTCAAACTTAATCTGTGTCTTCTATACCGCTTACTATTAGGATTAACCTTCACTGTTCAGCCACAACTCGAGTTTCAGACTCGTATGCGCTATGAACTAAGAAACAGCGAGCGCACAGTGAAAATACCAAAGTCTCGCACAATGCTCCGCTCAAAATTTTTCTCTGTTAAATATGCGTTAATATGGAACAAACTTCCATCGAGTGTTAGAAACTGCACTACCTATGCACAATTCAGACGCATGATTAATATTCACCTGACTGTTGCAAATATCTGGTCAACACTAAGCCAAACGGTGACTCTAGATGATTTGTATGAGAAAGGTCCTGGATACGTATGAAAGTCACCATATCTTCTATTCGTTTCAATAATATAAGATTACCTACATATAATTGCATTCTTGAGTATATATTTGAGAACGATCTTACTCCTATTAATCGGTCTAACCAATTCTGTTTTCTCCTTTGACGCACTGGTTCGTAGATGCACTACACCTTTCAACCTGATGTCTCTGTACCATCGTCATCATTCGCCAAGATTTTCTATCAAATTGTGACTGGCCTATCGGCAAGAGTTTGTATTCATCATTATGTTTTATAATTCCTCATACTTTATCTTCTTCTTTGTTTCACCGTTGGTCATGACTGGGCTGATCTCTTGTGGCGACGGATTACAGCTTCCAAATTTAAAAAGTATACCCATGCGAATCATATTACTACTGACTCGCTGGCTTAGAACAAATAGGTGCCATAATTGATTGATCCGCATGACAGAAAGGGCTGAGGCTTCATCGCCTATAATGTATGCAGAAAACAGCTCTAAAAAAAGACATTTGACACCTAGTTCTGATGGCCTATTTACTATCTTGCCACACAGGCACAGAGCCAATTGGAGCATGGAAGTGCGGGTGAAACCCATCGTGGAAATACCCTGCATGGAAGCAAGTCCCCTGGGGACAGTTCCATGGATGACCGTATTACTTTACTTGAACTTTCAGCAAAATCTACATTTATTATTGTTCCCAGTTTCTTTATCTCTCTACTTTACCCAAACTGCTAATCATTTCAAAAACCCATGTGAGAACCATTGATCAAAAGACGAATAATTAATTATATTATGCGATCACGTTGAACATGTTGATAAGACCACCCAATTGGTCTGTGCCTCGCACTGCTGAGGAATAAAACGTTTATTTATTATTTAGTATTTATAAACGAGACCTCATTCATCAACCATAAACTACGCATTACTAAACATGATAATATTTCGTCAACGCCCAAAGCAAAGGTACATATCCCTTCTCAGACACAGTAGCAAATGTTACCATCTACATCTGACTTCGCCAAGCTCAGCTCCTTAGTAGAATATTAAGACTCCGCTGTCCTTTGCAGACATTGATCTTGATATACGTTTACAAAGGAAAAGCTGCATATTGTTTGATTCTAAGTGAACTTACTAAATAATAACTGAGTGTGGGAGAATATGCTAACATCTTACCAGTCATGGGACATTTCGTTCTTCGCAGAACGGAAGGCTATTTGCCGATTAAGGGTGACAGTGTAAGGGACCAAACTGGATTAGCGAAAATCCCTATAGTCATGGAAATATTACGCGCAAACATCGGATTGACAATAGATCTGGACACCAGATATGTCGCCGCTAATTGTCTTGCATTGCTCTTCTTTCTCAAACTAGACTATATAGCTTCTTCTAATAAATATCACAATTAGGAGGTCATTGTAAAGCCGGCAGCAAAAGCAACACAGCCATATTAAATATCAGCTTAGCTATTTAGAATCTTCGTTTCATTCACCACCGGTCATTATACCTACAGTTTTTTAGAGTATGATAGTGAAAATAAGTTGCAATTTAAACCAAAGTTACTCCGCTCAGTTTATGAAGCTTAATGACGGATCGGCCAGAACAGATAACCGGGTCCAAGCATTCGGTTAACTTAGCATACTGTTTTACTTTTCATGATACTGGAACGCAGCATTGAGAGCAAATTCGCTAAGTTCTTTGTATCAAGGTAATTTCTATCATCAGTTCAATATGGTATGTGCAAATCATTCAACTGACGCTTGTTAGACTGATTTTTCGACTGACTGACGGGTTCAATATATTTCAGGATGAAGTATTGTGGCCTGCTTGGATCTCCAAACATTTGGTTTAGGCTCCACTTACAGCACTTCCTTATGAGCTTCTCAATGGTGCCATTGACGGTGCACCAGTGTTTTCAAGGGATTCATGCACAATTGCTTGGATGTATATAATCGGAATCTATGTCGATTCATAATTGATAAGAGACTGTACTACAGATGTACTAAAGAATAGTGTACATGTCCCATGTCCTTTCCTTGTGCAAGTAAATGACCAACTTCCTGCTACCATAAACGAAAGAACATACATGTACACTGTGGATGCAAAGATCACGTATAACACAAAGGTTCAATACTGGAAAACGATTTATAAATTCCGAAATGGCTTAGGCCCTCTGAAAAGCGTGGTGCCAAGTCTTAAGTGAACTTCTCGACGGTTGAGCAGAGCATCGGGTGCAGGACTAAATCCTGAGATCCGTTGCTTCATCACACTCACGTTCCTATATACGACTGAGTTTGTGATCTAAGTCTTCATGTATTTTTAAGACCAAGCTGGGTGATCAAAGCAAATGCAAATATTGGACTGGTGAAACATCTGTTTTAAAAGTGAGACGACCTCTCATATACCAGCAAATACGCCAAATCTCTTTTGGAAAACTGTTACATCACATTCATTGGTCTAAAATAGCGGATCAGGTGCTTAAAGCCCCAATAAACGGAAATGTTAACAGTTCGTCAACTGTCCCCTATAAAAAAGATGATCATAACGAAACATTGAGTCCATGTAACTTGGAAAATTGTAGCCAAACCCGTGCTGGTTGTAAAAAATTCGGCTATCGGGAGGCGCATAACAATTACTTTAGAACTTGATTACAAAAACTATCTTATTAAGGTTTTACAATCAAACAACATATCCAAAGAGCATCCCGTTATCGCAATCGACCAGAATGAAGCACCTTATGCATAAATATGGTATTATGGTATAGCATCATGGAACTGACCACCTAAACTATTAAGCAGCCATCAGCCATCTTGTTGTTTACGGCGATACTTGAAAACTGATTAACTAATCAACACATCAGAGGATTGTTTAGTATCACGAAAGTTGATAGACTAGCATATAAAAACAGGCATTCTAATGTAGACATCCATGAAGCACTTTAGACCGAAAATTAAATGCCAAGTATGAACAATGAACTCAAGCCCATCGTCAAACCCAGCCCCGTGGCATATCGCTTAGAACACATGTAGGCTGCACAAATTTACTGTGGTGCCGGCGCATGAGGTCCCTTCAACGACACCCAGGCCACCATCGATTCCATCCTTATCACCACCCAATCTTAGCAATCAGTCGTTCTGTGCGATGAGGCAACACACCTCTATGACCGCAATGGGAGCATTGTACTAATCAATGTATTAAGGCTAAATTGCGAACGCCTTACGCGATCCATGAACGGAGAGAGTAAAACCTAATGATAAATGTGCAAGGGAATGGCACGTGTCTGTGGTCAACCTTAATGTACCTTTTTACGTGCAGTCTGTTTAGGTCTGCTTGTAGTTTAATAAATTTTGGTGAAATCACGTAACGCAGCCGAGTCATCATCAAGCGGGTCCTGGAATTCAGATAACTTGGAAGCTGGAACAGAGGAAATCGAAAAGGCTTTCCATCTCTAGCACACTCTAACGGAGTAAACGTTCCAGCGACATTCCAGCTGTCCAAACCGTGTGGACAATTCTAAGTGGAGGCCCCTCAGAAAGATGTTGGAGCTGAAGCGTGATAAGCGACGGCATGAGTAGTTTGGGTACTTGAGGATCTCATGTTCCACTATACCAGCGATCTACAGATGCTGATACTGTCCACTGTAAACTCCTAGTGACTTGAGTTTAAGTTGATAAGGCGATG